TGTCAGAAATTATAGGCACAAGACATAGTGTCGTTGACAGGACATGCTAAAGAACACTATATATGTTTGAAAAATTACTACTACTACATGACGACCAACCTTACAAGGGATAGGCTGTAAAAAAAAAGATAAAGAATGTTATCTATTATTTTCCTTCTTTCCTTTAGACTTGTTAATGGTTAATTCGTCATTGTTCATTTTAAAAATCACCTTCAGGGCACATATTTTTATCAGTGAGAATGGCTTGTAGAAAAGTGAGTTAAGCTGAATAAAGAACCGAAATCTGTTAGTTAGTTAGTTAGTTAGTTAGTTAGTTAGTTAGTTAGTTAGTTAGTTAGTTAGTTAGTTAGTTAGTTAGTTAGTTAGTTAGTTAGTTAGTTAGTTAGTTGGGTTATCATCATTGCACTCCGGACATGTCCATAGGTGCTCAGATCCTCCCCTCAGTATGAATCCCAACGTCCGATGGCTAATAGTACCAGTTCTATGTTGATTAACAAATCTTCTGACGTGTCCAGTGTGCGTCTCGTTTTTTGCTGTGCCGATCTTAATTCCCAAGTCTGCCATTCTGGCGAGTGATGTGGATTCACTGCCACCAAAGTCCTCTATCCTTCCCATTTCTCTGAGGGCATTGATAATATCAGCATGATCCATAGGCCGACCGTCGGTAGTGATAGCGGATCCAGCCAGCCTGTCAGCTCTTTCATTTCCATCGACGCCTGCGTGTCCCGGAACAAAAATAAAAGTGACTCCTCGCACAGTGGACTTCTGAATTGATTCAAGCCATTGTCTTCGCACTGAACCTGCCTGAACCCTCCGGATCATACTCATTGAATCACTGAGTATACATATGCGGGTGTATTTTTGTGTTTCAAGCCAGGCAAACGCTTGCGTCACTGCCATCACCTCCATCGTCATGCTGCTGGTTGTCATGGAGAAGGCGCCGTTGGCTTCTTTGACTGTTCTGCCCGCTGAGCGTGCTGTAAATGCCCATGCGCTTCTTCTTTGGCGTATAACGGATCCGTCTGTTTAGATTAGTGCATCTGCTTCGTCTGAATTTTCACCGATGAGAGCGTTGACCTCTGCATTAACAGCAACAGGATTCTCTTCTCTACATCGCCTGTTGAGTGTGACGATACAGGAAAATGTACAAATAAACGCCTGAGGCACAGGTATCCATTCTGCACCAGGTATGATGTCGGTTAGGCTGCATATTTGCCTAATAACATCTTCTGCCCGACCTAGCCACGATTTTCCCCTCTTCAGTCTGTCGCCCTTTTCACTAAAAAGCGCTTGATGCAGTGGGTGTTTCTTATCAGCACATATTTTGAGGTATGCCCGAGCCCTCCACATCCTGATCCTTTGGTTCATTGTTGGAAAGTCAAGTAGATACCTCATTGCTCCACAGGATGTGTCTCTTGTACATCCCAAAATAATACGCATGGCTTCATTTTGCACCTTCTCGAGTCGTTCAATCTGGGTAGCACTGACAGTGAGGATGGCCAGAGCGTATTCAATGGGGGAAAGGACCAGACCGTAGAATAGAAGCACCAGCAGTCTTTGCTCGATATTGGAAGTAGCCATAATCCTCATTGCAGATAGACCTTTGCGTGCTTTTGTTATCGCATGGTCAACGTGTTCCCTGAATGACAAGCTGCGATCAAACCTCACCCCGAGAAACGTCATAACGTTGGTTCTGATCAATACATTATCACGCATTTTCACTTCTGGTAAGTTTGACTTGACAATGTGATTGTTCAAAGAGAACCATGACACTGCTGCCTTCGAGGGATTGACATAGGCATTGGAACCATCACACCAGGCGGCAATTCGATTGAGTTCTTTGTGCATTGTGCTGGCGATCTCCTGTCTATCACGCCCTCGTCGATAAATCAAAATGTCATCAGCAAATGACAAAGTCCTTCCCTTTCCATTCAACTGCTGCTCAGTGATCATCACCGTATAAACGTTGAATAAGATGGCGTCCGATGGCGACTATCTACCGAAATCTTTAGCAACAAACGCAGTTCTAATTCCGATGATGCCAGTTGCAGACTGATTATATGTTTGTCTTGCTTTGTTTATGTGTGTTAAGTGTCAGCCAAACAACCCGGTCACACCCCGCTGCGTTATTCTCTCCAGATTTTTATCATTTGTGCTTCCTCTCTGTTTACCAGCTGACAAAAAGACCTCGACCACAACTTACTTGTCAGGCATCAATTTTCACATAGGTAATGCAGTTTCAGCCAGTTGTTTATCTTAATACACGAAATATATCTGTCTCCGCCACTATAACCCTGCTGTGTTGAGATTAAAAGGAGGGTTCGCACACATACACACACAATTGACAAATGGTTTAAAATAAGATCACTGTAAGAAAAACTTCCCTACGTAATATAGAAATCAAATGCGGCTTCTGGGGGGAATAAATGAATCTCACGAACGACTAGTACAACTAAGGCCCATTTTATTTAATACAGAGCTTGAGGACGACAAAGTGATAAATGCCCAGATGGTTTAACAACATGGCATAAGATGAACAAGAACACATAACCAGTCCAAAACTAGTGATCACGTAAGAAATAGCAAACATTGTAAGGCTACGTTTGCCGGCGTGGCAAACGATGATGGTGCCATGGTTGCCAAATAAAAAAACACCTTTATTTTATGTCAAACCATTACCCAAAATATGCCAGAAAATGCCAAATAAAGTGTAACATTGTACTCGCTTCACATCAAAAGCTCTAGATTGAATTCTTCACTGTCTTTCTCACTGGAACCAGTGGAAGATACAGCGTAAACCTTTTCGGATGTAAAATATTTGAGCATTTTCTCAGATGGGATGAAGTCTTTGCAAACCCTCTATAATGATGGTATATTTCTTGTTCCAAAATCACCAATATGGTCATCCTTTAGTGCAGGCGATATAATATTTTTTTAATTAGGCATGAACATTTAGTTCTATGCAACTGTATGTGCTCCAATGTGCTCCCCCGACCATGCGCTCTTATGATTTCACTTAGACGATCAATTGTGAGTATTGCACAATGGCAGGTCATGCCCACAGCAAGTTGAAACTCTGCTTGCTTTAACCTTATCATTACTTTGCCTAGGAGTCATTGTTGTAATAAGCTGTGACTGGCTTTTTGACAGTTTTCATCCTGTGTTTTTCGGATTTTACATGATTTTATATGCTATTATTTCTTGGTGCAACAGTGCACTGATACAGTTTGCATTATGCTGCCTCTGATTCATCTGAAGATCTTTTGAGCCTTGGGTTTGTTTTCTTCTAGTTACTATTATACTTGAGGTGTCGTAAGATGCTTTCCTTTTTTTTTTTTTTTTTTTTTTTGATGGCGTGGCCATTGGTAAAAGTCATAAAATCTGTCACAGATAGAACTAGGTCTGTCCTCAGGTAGTTTTTGAACAGTCTGAATCACTGGGTATCAGTGGTGGGTTTTGGTTTTATATCCCACATTTACTGTAGTAGATTAACATAAATTACAGAAAGCCCTGGTTTATCGAAGTCACGATCCGTTTAGGAAGACAACAAATACAAAAAGAAATGTTGTGAATCTCCGTTAGTCCGTACTAGGACATCACAACAAAGTCAAACTGAAAAAAAAAAGATGTCAACTGTAGGTCTACATTGCTTTTAGTAAATCTGAGTGTTTCTAACAGAGGGGGAAACAAAGAATCAAATGTGAGCACATCTTGATAAGAAAAACCAAGAAAAACCCAAATATGCCAAAATATGCCAGTTCATTGTCTTATGCCAGTTAAATTTCAAATATGCCAAATTTGTAGATTCTGGCATAACAAATGCCAATATAGCAACCCTGAATGGTGTCACTGACCCGGAAGTAATACTGCGAAGTACAGAAGTGAATACCCGCCCTGTTGGTTTAAGACGGATTGCTATCTTGTCCACGACGTTCGTTTGTTCTTTTTAAAAAAGGGTAAATTTTCAGTGTATTTTTATTGTTGTACTTCATAAAATCATTCACTTATACCGAAATTGTAAATGGTTTAAGGGTGAATCACATACTGGTTTTTTTTTTATTGCATTGTCCTATTGTGAAATTATTTGTTGCAGGGATGCTAGTAAAGTTTTGGCTCTCCTTTAAATACCGATCACTAGCTGGAATGCCGACGGTCGCTTAGTGGGAGTTCACTCCCTTGGTTGCAGTGCAAATACTGACCGTAAAGAGGGAACGAAACAAATGACATACTTACCTATCATCATACTGTGCGTAGGGTTTGGGTTAGGGGTAGGGTGTGGGGTAGGGTTAGGGGTAGGGTGTGGGTTAGGCTTAGGGTGTGGGGTAGGGTTAGGGGTGGGGTAGGGTTATGCGTAGGGTTAGGGTTAGGGTAGGGTTAGATGTGAAAATTGTGACGCAGGAGTTCCAAATAATGGCCGACAATCTGATGCTTGTGGGAGTGGGGCCACTGGATGTCTCCTATACATTTCGCAATTTTTTTACCCACCGGCAAAATCGGTGCCGGTGTCGGAGACTAGACCGGATTCATTGTTGACCAACGGCAGCTTTCACACAATCCCGGGGCGACAGACTGGCCGCAGACGACACCACCAAATGCAACCGATGTATTTGTTACTCGACATATTGGATACTGGCTTGAGATCCGACTGCGATTCCAAAGTCCGCTTGTCCACTGAGGTCTAGACTTATTTGTTGGCACCATAAAACTGTTGCTTTGTTGGCATTATTTCAGTATTGTAGTCGTTCTTATTGTGATGAGAACAGATTTCTTTCAGTGCAGAAATTAGTAAATTGTTCAGAAACGATGCTGCTACATTGACAGAACTAGTTGGGGGAAAAGGGGGGGGGGGGAACAGTTTGTGGGATAAAAGAGCAGATTTTTTTTATTGATATAGAGCTGCAGTAGTCTAGTTTCTAAGTTGAACGTATATCAAAGTGAACGTTTACCGAGGTAACACTGTATATTGTTTTTCCTTTCCAGTTAAACAATCAGTTTACAAAATGGGAATGCACTGGGGAAACATGTGCCGGAACATACGTGGTATCTACATCTACAGCCTTTCACCATATGAGCAAAAGGCTTTCCATAATGTTTTACTGAAAGGAGTCCCGAATATGGTGAGGAGGATCAGAGGGCAGATTTTTAGAGTTTTACCGCGTGAGTATAACAATATTAGTTTTTTTGTCACAGTCTCCGGCTTGAGAAGAATCTAGGCCGTCAGTGTTTGCCATCTCTCGCGCTACCAATACAACCTTCTTCTCTATCAACCTGAATACTCCATGCACTGTTTACGAAGTCCAGTTATGAGAGGACAGACCAAGCATGTGGTAAACGGCGAATAATTAGGGGTTTCCTCAAATCAGAGGTGTTGAGTTAAACGGCGCAGATATCGCAGCCTTGCTCTAAACCACTTGAACACTGTATCACCCTTTCTCTTTTTTTTTTTTTTTTTTTTTTTTGGTTGATGCAGAAAAAGAAGAAGATGAAGACCTTTTTAACATTATTTTGTCGGCGTTACTATAATAGACACTATGTGGTGAGTGCCGACACCGTTTTTAGTCACTTTTGTAAGTGAGTGAGTAAAGGACCCTTTCCACGCCCATAAGGCGTATATGGCATATAGGGCTAGACCTATATTTTTATACACCAATCGGCAGAAGATGGGTGAAGTGGTCAGCATCACGCCGGCTGCCTTTAATTCCCGGGACTGCATCCGGTACCCACTCACGGCTAGGTCGACATGGGAGCCTAGGTCATTTTTGAAAAAAGTCCGGCCCCTCCAGGGAGCGAACCCACGACCTTCCGATCCGCGGCGAGCGTCAAGCCGCTAGGCCACGGCGACTCGCTGTCACTTTTGTTCTATAGAAAAAGCTCTGCCTGTGTGTTCTCTGTGAGTACGCTTTGTAATGATTTCGGCAATGCAGTGAGCATCGAACGGAAAAACATAAGTAAACTCATCGTCATCAATCAGCAAAACTTTAACAGAACGCCCTTCTCGTCACGGAACGCCTGAAAGTCGTCTCTCTTTCTCTAGCCCTATGTGCTTTCATGACCAATGCGTGTTCTTTGTCTTGTATCCATTTTCAATGGGATCTGCTTCTACTCGGTTTTCTAATGACTCTAGCCTCCATCACCGCTCTCTCTCCAGGCCACCGTGACATTTGATATGGCCAAAATACTTCAGCTTACTGATCAGGATGCTGTTTATGAGCCAACCCTACTCGATGCTCACATCATTGAGAATGTCAGTGTACTTCTTCTTCTCGGTCCCCGGTATTCTTATCATTTTTCTGCAGCATGTAAGTTCAAAAGCTCCGATATTTTTTCTCAGCGAATGAGTAAGGGTTGGATTTTTATCGTGGTATGGGACGTCGCAGGTCGACCCAGCCTAAAATGGGTACCAGGATGGGCTGTCCTGGGAAAGTAAAGACAGCCGGCGTAATGCTGACCACATTACCCACAGAGTGCTGATGGTCTGTAAAAATATGGGACGCTCTGCCCATATGCCAGATGCGCCGAAAGGCGTGAAAAGGGAACTTTACTTTACTTTTTTACTTACTAGATGTAACAATATCAGGTGAAAGCCCAAAGGGTCATCATATGATGGTGGTAGCTTTGAGACGTCCTGTAAAGGATGCGCTATTACCTTTTTAATCCACCTTGAAACATGCTGGCCAACAATTGTTGAACATAGATTTCTGTTGTTTCTGTTGTCCCTTTATCTTTCCTTTCTCCCAGATACAAACTTAAATCGTTATTATTTTGTATCATGCTTTTATTTATCTGTGAAATGAGGATGTTTCTTGCATTTTTTTTTCGGTGTCTAGCCTAATCTGTTTTTCCAACAGTGCAGTTACGGGATGAACACAGCATCAGTAACTGCGTGCCAAAGATATTTAGATAACTTTGTAACATGACCAAAACATATTTTTTTTAAACCAATGTTTATAGATAGATGCTCTCCTCATCCTCCGTCTTGTTTGCCTACTTGAACTTCCTCTTTTCGTCGACTACCACCACAACTCCAAAACAGCTACTACAAATTCCTCTACCTCTTCTTCTTCTTCTTCTTCTTCTTCTTCTTCTTCTTCTTCTTCTTCTTCTTCTTCTTCTTCTTCTTCTTCTTCTTCTTCTTCTTCTTCTTCTTCTTCTTCTTCTTCTTCTTCTTCTTCTTCTTCTTCTTCTTCTTCTTCGTATTATTATTATTAATATTATTATTATTATTATTATTATTATTATTATTATTATTATTATTATTATTATTATTATTATTATTATTATTATTCTGCCGTTCCTCCTCCTGATCCTAATCCCCCTTCTTTTTCTCTACTACTGGTGTTTAGGTCTTCTAGCATTATTTATCAATTGTTAAAATAGATTCCGACTTAAGCGTCTCCTGTATCCGTCTGTTTGTACATGTGAAACTTCTCTTCGTCCACAGCCTTTATTATTGGCTATGTGATTTATGCCTGGGCCATTGAAGAGCACCAGCGACTACAGCGCAAGAGCCCAAGAGACCGGTGTGTCGAGTGAGCAGACAGCTGGGCAGCTGAGACATTGAGCCACTGACATCCGTGTCAATATCTTTGTGAGGATTGCTTTTACTGTTGACAGGGAAAAGGTTAAGGATGGGGGGGGGGGGGGGGGGGGGGGGGGTGGGGGGGGGGGGTGGGGGGGGGGGGGGGGGGGGGGGGGGGGTTTACAATTTTGTTTAATTTGTGAATTACGTTGCGTTCGCTATCAGCAGAGTGCTATGTTTACAAATTATATATTAGAATTAATAAGTTATGGTTTTAGTTTTATGAGTTATTTCATCAAGTTTGTGAATTATACTGCTGAATTAAAATATATTATGAGTCGTCTTCTAGTCTGTTGTTTTGTCCTTGAGGTTGCTATCTAAAGGTTTTAACACCCCCTGCGATTACAAGAACCGAATCCTAAATTGAAAACCAACTGCGCATATCCTGGATATCCCGTTCAACCTACAAAGTAGTTTTAATTGAGACACTCACAAGGAGTAAAGCAAATACTACTCAGTGTACCTAACATACCTATATACACGAGGGTGTACACGATGTTAAGTATCATTCTCTTCTTCTTCTTCTTCTTCTTCTTCTTCTTCTTCTTCTTCTTCTTCTTCTTCTTCTTCTTCTTCTTCTTCTTCTTCTTCTTCTTCTTCTTCTTCTTCTTCTTCTTTCTTCTTCTTCTTCTTCTTCTTCTTCTTCTTCTTCTTCTTCTTCTTCTTCTTCTTCTTCTTCTTCTTCTTTCTTCTTCTTCTTCTTCTTCTTCTTCTTCTTCTTCTTCTTCTTCTTCTTCTTCTTCTTCTTCTTCTTCTTCTTCTTCTTCTTCTTTCTTCTTTCTTCTTTTTCTTCTTCTTCTTCTTCTTCTTCTTCTTCTTCTTCTTCTTCTTCTTCTTCTTCTTCTTCTTCTTCTTCTTCTTCTTCTTCTCTTCTTCTTCTTCTTCTTCTTCTTCTTCTTCTTCTTCTTCTTCTTCTTCTTCTTCTTCTTCTTCTTCTTCTTCTTCTTCTTCTTCTTCTTCTTCTTCTTCTTCTTATTCTTCTTCTTCTTCTTCTTTTTCTTCTTCCTTTTCTTCTTCTTCTTCTTCTTCTTCTTCTTCTTCTTCTTCTTCTTCTTCTTCTTCTTCTTCTTCTTCTTCTTCTTCTTCTTCTTCTTCTTCTTCTTCTTCTTCTTCTTCTTCTTCTTCTTCTTCTTCTTCTTCTTCTTCTTCGTTTTCTTCTACAACACCACAAGGAAGTTAGCGCTTAATTATAAGCAGCCAACTGGATTAATTAAAAATAGTCAAGGAAAGATTCACACCAGCACTACAGATCAAAAGGACAGCTGGGCAGAATATTTTTAAGTACTCACGAATAGACCAGCCCCAAAGGTCGCTCCAGATATCTAGCATTGAGAAATGGAACTTTTTCTTCGCGTTCACTGGCTGTAAACTCCGGCGGAAAGTTCTGGTTGTTCGTCCACCTCTGGACGTTGGCCTTGTTCCAGAACCTGAGTGTTGCATGCACATCCGTTTTACAAATGTGTCTTACTTGTATGCAGATTGCTGGTTCCGTGCCTCTCAGGCAGATGCACTCCGAATTCAAAGGAAGCTCCCAGTTAGTCGGCTCTTGCAACATGCTTGTTGGGGAGGCAGTGTCTCTATTTCTTGTTTTCCTTACAGTGGGGCCCTGGAACCCGAACGGGAAAAAGAAATGGAACTGAATATCAACTGTGAGATACCATTTAAAGGGGAAATTATGAAAGCTTTCGGTTTACTAAAGAAAGGAAAGGCTGCGGGTCCAGATGGTATCCCAGTATAAATGAATAATGCAAGTTTAACCAAATCTACTGAATTGAGACACAATTTATTCAGTAAAGTCTGGGAGACTGAAGAAATAACCAGCAGATTACAGAGCAAGATATCTCGTGACACTGCTACAAAAAGGCGATCAGCAGAAATGGGAAAACTAAAGAGGAATTGGTGCTTTATTAATATCCTACCCCAAACAGGAGAAACACATAAGTCACGGGACAGGCTAATATTTCAGGGGGTGGCAGATAGGCCTGCATGCAGTCGTGGGACCTACGCTGCATGCAGTCGTGGGACCTAGGCTGCACTCTGTCGTGGGACCTAGGTGGGTTGGCGTTAGGGCCCGTTCTAAATGTTAAGAGCATCAGAAAGCCGGGAAACCCAGTCCTCCCTTCAAAACGTTGGACTGTCCTTTGACGTCATTTGGGGTGTTAGGATATTAATAAATCACAGAGGAATTTTGTTGCTGTCAGTTTCTATAAATAATATTAAGTAGTATTATTTGGGAAAGACTAAAGGATGTAATTGATATAATTCTAAGGAATAAAAAAGGCCAAGCAGATCATACATTGACCAGAAACATCATTAGGCGTAACAAGAGAGCAAAGCATTGAATAAAACTCACCAGTTTACATTCGCCTTTGCCAGCATTGACATGGCATTTTTTGAGGAAATGATTATGGATCCCACAGAAAATTATTAACTCAATGAAAGCCAGACATAAAGACAGGAAAGCTCGGGTTCTTCAAGAGGGAAAACTCACACTAAAAAATGTGTGGATGTGAAAGGAAATTAAAACTAATTTTCAACTTAAATTGTTTGTAATGTCCAATGAGTACTGCTGAAACCAGTGAAGAACAGAGAGAATAAACGGTGTGACTAAAATGTCTTTGCACAGGAACCCACACTAGCCTAGAAATAAAATGGGCCACACACACACACACACACACACACACACACATACATACATACACACACACACACACACACATACATACAAAGAAAACGGAGCTAAAGATTGAAATGCAAAAGATAGGTAGGACACGGAGTATGCTGCATGCGATAGCAAAGGGCAGGACGACTTGGCGTGAGTTGGTAGAGGACCTATACTCAGTCAGGCGAAAAAGGGCGGGAAAAAGATTCGTCGTAATCTGTGTCGTCCACAGAGTAAATGTGCAATAGTCGGCGTCTGTGGCTTAGGCGGTGCGAACGTACTTCGTAATGACGGAGTGCCGGGTTCGATCCCAGCTGCTGGACTTGCTTTGGTTTCTACAGCAGTATCGAGAAGCCGACCGTTGAGTACAGTGGCAAACTACTGGACAGAAACTTGCCTTTAAAAAAAAAAACCACAGCCCAAAAAAATGCTGGGGTTGGTTTTGCAACGTATTTTAAAGGATACGCAACTAACTATATTTGCTGTAAGGCTTTATCTCTTTAAGTTGTGCTCCAGATCTCAGAATTATTTTTGTGATTATGATTACCTCGTGACATAGGTGCCCTGATAGTCGTCGTTTAAAACCCTCGTCGAACCAGATTTTTTTTTTTTTTAGAGACAATGACCTTAAGTGGGTACCAGGTAAAGTCCGGGGAAGTAAAGGCGGCACGCGTAATGTCGACATCACCGATCGAGTGCCGAATTGCCAGTAAAAAAGAACTCCCACTAGGGCTGTTATTTTCCTGTAAAATGATTCCAGTACTCACAAGGTGTTTAAAAGTTAGGTAACTGTACTTATTACAGTCGCTAAACTAGAGTTTCCCAAACGTTTCTTTGTCGCGGTGTCTTTTTTTTTTTCAATTTAAATTTGTCCATGGCGCCCTAACCCAAGTAAAAGTTTGACTATGCGTATGTAAGAGATTTAAAAAAAAAAAAAAATCGTTTATTTTCGAATGCGGCACATAAATTAGTAATGGAGTGGATACCTTCCCACTGTGGAGTTCCCGGAAACGAAAAAGCTGATAAACTAGCTAAGGAAGGTGCAACTGAAGAACAACCTGACATACCAGTCTCTTATCAACAGAAGAAGAGAATGATCAAATCAATCAGAATGCCACCAAAACTGGCACAAGATGATTACCATATTATGGATAGACCAGAGCAAGTCATTATCCTTCGCCTTAGAACAGGGCACAATAGACTTCGCTCCCACATGTACAACAAATTTAAGATTGGCCAATCGGCCATGTGTACTTGTGGACTGGCACCTGAAACAACAGATCACATCCTTCAAGACTGTCCCATATTCAACGCTTTCAGGCAAAACCTTTGGCCAAAAGAGACACTTGTGGAAGTCAAACTTTACGGGCCGCTTAGTGAATTACAAAAGACAGTGAAATTCATACAAGAGACGGCTTTGCAGATATAGACAATTTATTTCATGCGAACGAAAGAAGAAGAAGAATGCGGCACACAGCTCTAGCACAGCGGTTCTCAGCCTGTGGGTCACGACCCTTTGACAAGGGTCGCCAAAGACCATCGGAAAACATATTCACTGACGTTATGAAGTAGCAACAAAAATAATTGTATGGTTGTGGGTCACCACAACATGGGGAACTGTATTTAAAGGGTCACGTGTTAGGGATGTTTAGAACCACTGCTCTAGCACTTTATACTTATAACCTCTAGGGGTGTGAAAGGGGGTCCTTTCATTACCTGAAAACTGGTGACGAATATCGAACTGGGCCGAGCATTGCTCACTACAAGCAGACTGGTAAACCAACATCGAACTAGTGCAAACAGTGCTCACTTCAAAAAGGCTGGTGAACCAGCATTAAAATTGGGCAAGCTGTGCTCACTACAAGAAGACTGGTGTACCGGCAATGAACTGGAGTGAGCAGTGCTCATTACAAGAAGACTGGTGAAGCTACATCAAACTGGCGCCAGCAGTATTCACTCAGGAAGGCTGGTGAACTAGCAATGAACTGGGGCGAGCAGTATTTACTAAGGAAGGCTGGTGAACTAGCAATGAACTGGGGCGAGCAGTGCTCACTACAAGAAAACCGGAGAACCTGCAATAAACTAGGACAAGCAGTGCTCACTACAAGAAGGCTGGTGAACCAGCAAAAAACTCACTACAAGAATATTGGTGAATGAACATCGGACTTGGGCGAGTGATGATCACTACAAGAGGACTATTGTATCTTCAATGAACTGTGCTTACTATATAGAGACTGGTAAACAAAAATCGAACGTGGGCAAGCAGTATTCAATACAAGAACGCTGGTGAAC